CTGGTTCGCTCCAACTGAGCTATGTTCAGTCTCACAGAGGGTTCCACTATAATCTTCACACGATTACAAATTAGTATTAGTACCACTCTTGGTACTCAGCAACCCCGCCGAGATTTCCTTTGAGTATTAGCACCATTTTCGGTACTCAGCAACCCCGCTGACATTTTTTTTGAGTATTCGCATCGCTCCTGGTACTCAACAACCTTAGCCGATATTTCCTTTGAGTATTCGAACCACTCCTAGTACTTAGCAGCCTTGCCATGATTCCTCAACTCAAATAGAGTTCAGTTGTAAGTATTTTAATTCTCTTTAGAAATACAATGAACGATTGCTTACAAGTAGTTCAGACTATATCTCTCGTAGAGAGGATTTGATTACAATACAAAGCAGTGTAAACACTCGTAGATGTTTCTCTCTTCTCTCTTACAATAGTAAGCAATATGACAATGAAGTGCGAGAGTATCTCTTTCTCTTTTTCTCTTGTCTTCTCTTATCTTAAGCTTAGATATTTTTTTTTCTTGAGATCTTTCTCTTTTGCTTCATTGGATTTTGTTGTAAGCTTTTCTTCACTATGTTATCCTCTTAAGCTATCGTCTTGATTTTCTTCTTGAGAGATCTTCTATTTATAAGTTCCATAATGTTTTGTCCGTTAGACTAAGCTTCTAGCCTTGATACTCGTGCTTTCTCTTTCTTCTTTGCACAACATGTGTTGGGTAAGTCAACTTGTCAAAGCAAGCATACTTTTTCAGTCCTTTTCCTGAAGTAGGTTGTACGATCTTTTTAAACTTTACTTCAAGTGAGGAACAATATGTGAATATCACCTTTATCTCTAACGTCCACTTTTTGATATTTGATCTATAACATTGTGGATGCATGTAGAATAACTTATCTACAAGATTAGAGTAAATTATGCATGCTGCAAATACATATTTTTTTTATCACTTTTGTTGTTTTTGAACGTTTAGCATTTAATGTCATTTAATACTTGCTCAAAACAACAAAGTGTTTTATTGAATTTCTACTGTTAGGTAGCATTTTGAAATTAAGTTCTTTTCTGAAGATACCAAACATGTGTGTGTGTGTGTGTGTATATATATATATATATATATATATATATAACACTTCCCTCAAACTAGTACATACAAATGCATCAAGCTTGTTACAAAATATTATTAATTCTCAGTGTTGGTAAAGATTTAGTGAAAATATTTGCTTCTACACCAAAGTGATACAAAATTGTTTAATGATTTGTGAAGATGACATACCAACCCAAAAGACCTCCCCTAAGCAACAAATCCAATAGGTTGTTCCGTATAAATCTCTTTTTACAAATCGTTGTTGATGAACGTATTGTTGATATCTAGTTGATAAAGAGATTATTGTTGAAAAATCACCATAGTTATAAATAAGCTAACATGACAATAGAGAAAAAAATATATATGAACATGTCAGATGTATTGGTGACATAAAAGATGTCAGAAGAGACTGTAGTGGAAGAATCCTTTGACAAACATAAGAAAGAGAGAAATCATATAAATTCAAGATTCTTCAATTAAGGCACAAAACACATATCTTAGAAGAGTTGTGGGACGCAATCTTAGAAGAGTTGTGGAGTTGAGTTGGGTTTAAAGTCTACTTCTTACCAAATAATGATATATATAACTTAAACAGTTGTTTATATTGGAAAAAGATAAAAATGTATATAATATTTTTCATTTTAAATATTTTCTCCACTTTTGGGATGTGTTATGGATGTGTTATGTGTTGGAAGACTTTATTATAAACTTTAGGAATAATGTAATTAATATATCATATACTATATACTTATTTTGTTTAATATCAATTATGAAATTATTTAATTTGTTGAATGATTCAACTAATTCAAGATTTACACATAGCAAATAAACTATAATTTTTTTGTGCTAATGGTTCAGTGTTGGTCATATTAATTTTCAAAATATATTGATATTGATACATCAAAATAATTTTTAATATATTTTAAAATACCAAAATTAATACTCATAAGTATATTTTAAAACACAAACATACAAATACTACCAAATTCTCAACAAGAAATCCAAATTGAGATTAGAAATTTTTGTTATACTATAAAAAATATAATTATATAAGATTTATCGTATAAATAAACTTTATGTTTCTAAACAAAAGTATTTTGTTTTGTAGTTATAAATTATTATTTTTTAAATAATTAATCTATTTTATTTAAACAAGTCAATCTAATGAGCATTGATCAAATTAAATATTTATTTATTTTTTAGAAATTCTACTTTAATGTAAGTATTTATTTTTTATAATTATTAACGTTACAATACTAATAAGATCATATAATGAAACGTTTGTTACTTCGATTTATAATATTATTTTTTAAGAAGTTGTACTGCATAAAAAATTTAAAATTAACTCATTAAAATTAAAAATAGGGTAGTAATTAGACCGTGTTTATAAAATTGAAATATTTAATAATAGGCAAAACAAAAATTAAAGATTAAATAGAAGTGGTATTTATAAAGTTGAGGTGTTATTGTATGCGAAGATAATTTTATAGCAATTTCTTGGGAAGAGAGGGTCTAATATAGAAGGACAGTGACATGAATTGTGGGGGAAGAAAGCGACTTGTGATGCTACATTAGTTTCTCAAAGAAAGGTAACAAACTTGTGCTGCCTTTGGCTACATATGCTTAACCTTTTTATCATTTCGTCATCCCAGGTGGTCCTTCTTCTAAAGTCCCACCATTTTCTCTTTTCTTTCGATCTTCTCCTCTTTTCTCAATAACTGTTTTCTTACACGTGGCTCTGTCCCTTCATCTTCTTCCCATTCTCATCAAATTTCATTTCTGAATGACAAACACTCAATTTTAATTAATAAATTTATAATTTTGTTTCTACTACTTTACTTAACTTTTTCTTTTCTGAGTATAAAACTTAAACTTAAATTTGTATTCCTTATCTTTAAGAAAATATAACAAAAAAGATAAACACCAAATTAAAATGTTGGTAACAGTAAAAAAGACTGTGGTAATTTAACTTTGGATATTTGTACTCTCAAAATCGTCATCGGTCACTGCTAGCTTACATAGGGTAGGAGAGAGACAATTTGAGTTTATTTTCTTCTCCATGGCGAAACCAGAAGCAAAACAGGAAATTTAAGTTCCGATGTATGACAAGCTTGTCTTTTAGTTACACAAGGTATATATATGATTTAAAAATTAACGAAAATGTAACTTTCTGATAAAACAGAGTAACTTGTGTACGAGAAATATACAAATTTTATATTTATAAATAATAACCAAATTTATTTGCCCATCATATCATCACATATTTTATCAATATTTAATAGACTGTAAATTTCCAATTATTATTAGTACTGTAAACAAATTTCTTTACACGGAGTTATTAAAATAAAAGTTTGAGTTTCGTATTAAATAAAAAATAAACAATAAATAAAAAGAAGATTCACAATTCTATTATTTTAAAAATTATATAAATATCCTCAAAATACGTAAACAGTAATATTAAAGTCCATATATGTTTTTACTCTTATACCATTTTTTATTGTATTAGACACTGATATTTTGACATTATAATTCTTTTTACACATTATTATTTACTCTTTATTTTTAAATATAAATGCTAATTTTTGTTAAAGCTATTTTACTCCTGTAAAAGTTGTCATATGATACTCACATTATGTCAAGTAAACTTTTTCCTTTTTTCTAAATGCTCCTATCATAATAAAACTCTTGCCACACTAATAAATATATTAAAAAATATACCTTTAGCAAATAAACCGGCTAATTTGGTAGCAAATTCAATTACTTGTAAGTAATTGTTGCCTCTAACTGTTTTTCATCACACTTATATGACTAATTATTATTATATATTTATTCCATTCAGAAATTGCAAAAAAGTGGGCCACATTGTCTATTTTATATGAACTTTTATCAAAAATTAGGAATTGAAAATTGGGAGAAACAGTGACATAAATTTTTGACAAAGTTAATACTAAATTGAGAAGAAGGAAGAAAAAATTATTAGCACCGGCAGGGCATCTTCCGATAGTTGATGATAATTACTGTGCAAACCATAAATTCCGCAGTAATATTAATAGACACGAAGGCAATCTAGATAAACTTTATTTTGTTAGAGTGTAAGCAATGAATGGATTCATTGAAGAAGTTCAGAAAAAGAGATTTCCTTTGGGTTTAATTAAATTAGCAAGCATTTAAAAGTGCGTCCACTGATAGTTTTCTTTAGCCAGTTTGAAATGTATGAGGGAAAAAGGTTAAGTTTGGCTAGTTATTTACATTGAAAAAAAAGTTATAGAGATTAGGTAGGTACAAATTTTGAGGAAAAAAGAAACATTGAAGGTACAAGTATGGTCCAACTGTTATATGTAGCAATGTGATTAAGTGGTGTATTGAAATATGAAAAGGTAGCTAGTGAGGTCTCTGTTGTCCTTTTAGTTTCAATGGAGCTGTCAAAAATACACCAGCCAAAAACACTAGACAACGAGGCAACAGCCGGATGAAAACCTTATTTGTATTGCATGTTTTTACATGCACCTCTTCCTTTTGCATGAACATGGTCCCCTGCTACGCAACGCTCTTTCTAGTCTTCAACTAATCCCTCAACCCTATCCCTTTATTGCCTTCAACTACCAATTACACTTTTAAAACACTATCAAACTTGTGACTACTAACACACATAATTTCCATCATACTTATTTCTCGTCTAATAATGGTAATGAATAAGACAATCATATAGGGTGTGCAATTTCCATAGCATAGCTGCATAAAAAGGAAACACTGTTTTTTAACTTTTTTTTGCTTCCATTTTATAGGCTTCTCAGTTGCTTCTGCTCTGATCATATTAATGCCATCGTTATTATGACTTTGAGCTTCGAGAACTGTGATAAGATATCGTGTTCTCTCTTAAAAATTATTTATATATATATATATATATATATATATATATATATATATATATATATACTTCCTTAGTTTTTTCTATAAACACCATAAGAAGGAAGAGGTCAGGCTTCTTGCTCAGCTTTTGTGTTTCCTCCATTCCCACTATCCTACTAAGTCTGAGCATAAATTCAGGATCTTGTTCTTTCTTTCTTCATACTACAACCCGTGTTCTTCCAAAACAACAGTAGTTTTCTGTAAGGTCCCCTGTTCGGGTACCCACTTCATTCTTGAGGTATTCGGCCACCCATTTTAACTTTCACCCTTCTTTGTATCTGTTGTCACTCAGTTGAACATCTTCTTCCTCTTTTTCTTTCTCCATCTCTAAAATGATAAATGCACATGTAACCCATCAACCATAACATGCTTCTTTCTTTTTTATCAATTTTGCTTCATCCATCTTGAATTTCTTTCGTGCTTGGTAATCCTATTTTGACTCAAAATCATGAAGAGTATCAAGACCGTTGGCCATGCCATATTTGTCATTTTCATCCTCTGCCTGAGTGCAAGATGCTGTGGACAAGAAGACCTTGATATTGCTCCAATGGAGAAAGCAGAGCAAGAAGCTCTGTACTCCACCATTCAAGGCTTTGTTGGTAATTCCTGGAATGGCTCAGATCTCTATCCGGATCCTTGTGGTTGGACTCCAATTCAGGTACCTTTAACCAGACACCTAGCTGTGCCATCATCGGTAGTACTACAATACAAGTTGTCTAAGCAACTACTTTATACTGTGCTCGAGATAAGTTTTGGGTTGTGAAAATTTGTTTTTGTTAGGCCACCGTTTCTTGATGAGTGTCAGAAGGAATAGTATAGCTACAACGATATGGTTCCTGTTTGGTTAATGACTTGCACAGACTTTTTCATAATCAAGAGTTAAACTCTGAACACAAACACCCTTACTTTTCTCACTCTTGAAGATTTTTGCTAAATTTTGAAGTCCATATAAATAAAAGGCTTTGCACTCAATTTCATTAATGAACGCTGAAGCTTTTTAATTTCTGGTGGATGCCAAAGGTAAAAGTACAATCCATTGGTTTAATTTTACCGTTTGATCCTTAGTGTATCGATCGTCTTTCAGAAGTTCTCTTCCCTCTCTTTTTTTTTCAGAAAAAGTTCAATTGCCCATTATGTATTTGCATTTCAAACCGGAATTATAAATTAACCAGAACATGGTGATTGATTAGTTGCTTAATTGTGATGTCTGTGTTGTCTTCTTCTGCAGGGTGTCTCTTGTGATCTGTTTAATGGGTTTTGGTATGTTACTGTCTTGAACATCGGACCCGTCCATGACAATTCTCTGAGTTGTGCTCAAGATTTGGAGTTTAGGCCAGAGTTATTCTCGCTCAAGCACCTAAAATCTCTATCCTTCTTCAATTGCTTTCAATCAAAAAATAGCTTTCCAGCTACCATTCCCGCTAGAAACTGGGAAAAACTTGCCAGCAGCTTAGAGACACTAGAGTTTAGATCAAATCCAGGTCTCGTTGGAAACATTCCCTCAGGTTTTGGTGTCCTCAAGAACCTCCGATCACTAGTATTACTAGAAAACGGTGTAACAGGTGAAATACCATCAAGCATTGGCAATCTCGTGAAGTTGAAGAAGCTTGTTCTTGCTGAAAACTACCTTAATGGGAGGATCCCAGATGTTTTTGATGGGATGAACGAGTTATTAATCTTTGATTTGAGCAGTAATTCGTTATCGGGGTCTTTGCCTTCAACACTCGGAAGCTTAACTTCAGCATTGAAGCTTGATGTGAGCCACAATGACCTTGAAGGGACTCTTCTAAAGGAGTTTGCTAATCTTAAGAATCTGACCCTTATGGACCTTAGGAATAACAAATTGAGTGGTGGATTGACCTTTTCTTTGCAAGAGATGCAGTCATTAGAGGAATTGGTTATGTCCAACAATCCATTAGGTGGAGACATGAGGGCATTAGAGTGGGAAAACATGAAGAACTTGGAAATTTTGGAACTCTCTAACATGGGGTTGACAGGGGAAATTCCTGAGTCTATCTCAGAATTGAAGAGGCTCAGATTTTTGGGACTTAGTAACAACAAGCTCACTGGCAATCTGTCACCAAAGCTGGAAAATCTTCCTTGTCTCAATGCACTTTACCTAAGTGGAAACAATATCACAGGAGAGATTAACTTCTCGAAAGAGTTTTTGGAAAAAATGGGAAGGCGTTTTGGGGCGTGGAGAAACCCCAACCTTTGCTACCAAGTTGGAGTAATTTCAACAAACCATGTTCCATATGGGGTAAAGCCATGCCAGAGAGAGGTCAATTTGTTAGAATCTAATTCAAAAACTGAACTGATNTTGGGGCGTGGAGAAACCCCAACCTTTGCTACCAAGTTGGAGTAATTTCAACAAACCATGTTCCATATGGGGTAAAGCCATGCCAGAGAGAGGTCAATTTGTTAGAATCTAATTCAAAAACTGAACTGATCAATGGGGATAGGAACGAGACTTTCCATTTCATAGCCTCTAAGGGATTTTCTAGCTCTGCTACAAATGGACTCTGGTGGACATTGATGGAAGAAATAGCGATGATGGGTTTAGTTCTAATAATTCTTATATAGCTCTTTAGTCTAGAAGAATTCACCTTGGGCTTTATTTAACCTTTTAGGTGTTACAACAGCTTGTATGTTTTTTATATTTTCTTCTAACATGGCCTGATAGTCTTGTCAACTTATTATATTTTGCCCAACAAGTTAGTTATTGAAATATGATACCTCAGCTTACTTGTTACATGCACTTGCTAGTTTCCTTTTGTCCTTGCAGCAGCACGGGCTGCAAAGGTTTTTTTCTTTAATGGTTCGAGGTACCAAGAATTCTCTTTCTGAATTTTTAGGAGGGAAATACTGGTTGGTTTTTCCATGTTTACACAACTTTTCACCGAGAATTCTGTACAACTGTACCAATGGAAACTTTTATACATAATATGGAGTTCAGTAAGTGGAACAATTAAGTACTAGGCAATAATTTAACTGTAGAGTGTTTTGTTGCGTAGTCATTGATTTTAGCTGCATAGCAAATTCATTGTGATCCAAAAATATGTAGCTTTCAGCTGAGGCTTGTCGTCATCTCTAGTACCAAATGGAGAACTTTAGCTTCCAACTTCACCTAGACAACAAGAATCCTTTGCAATGTTACTTATTTTCTGTCCTCTACACTTTTAAAGCCTTTTCTTGGACACTAGTTTAATTTTTTCACTTCAAATTTCAGGAATATTTCTTCCACTATAATTTATAATATCATAAAGGTGGATTAAGATTGTTATTTAGACAATATTGTTGACGTAAAATAATATTATTTTACCTAAACTTAAAATTTAAATTAAATTAAATTCTTTCAAGAAATTAAACCGATGTAAAAATATTAAAGAATCGTTTTATTAATAAAATATTTCAATATATCTGCTCTTGTGCTGTAAATTACAATAAAAGAAGTAATATCCTTATTTTTTTCAATTAACAGTCTTAATTTATCTCTCTTTAACATGTATTTTAAATATTTCTATTATCCGAAAACTTTTTCCTTGATCATTTCAAAATACTACATTTTTATTTTTATTATGTACTTTATTTTATTTTTATTGCTTATCTCATTGAATCTACCGTTTTTTAAATTTTATTTCTAAATTAAATTTGAATAGGTTTTTTTAAAATATATTTTCCATATAATTAAAAAGAAAATTTTATAATTTTTATTTTATTGTGTAATAATTAGTCTAAAAATGTTTTTTTTCTATTCTAAAAAATAGTTTTTTCAGCTTCTTTTTTTAAAAAAAGTATTTTTAGTTAAAACCATAGTAACACTTATACTAAAAAGAAATAAAACTAGTAGAAAATTTGAGAATATTTGTAGTAAATATGTATTAATTTAATATTTCTCAATCAGTATATTAAAATCATAGACAACTATTATTTTGAAACAAATAGAAGATTCATTATGAGTTTAATTATAAAATAATTTATATATAACAAAATACTTTATTATCAATTAAATTATATAAAATTAAATATTACCATGTCCTATACACATACACGATATTCATATTTTAGGAAATTAAAATTAAGATGTAAAAAATAGCATTTATCTTTCATTTAAAAGTGTATTTGGTTGTGGCTAGTTACAATTTTTTTTTAATTAACGGTTAAATAATAAAGAATAGTTTTTTTCACAACAAATATACTTTTGCAATGTTATATATACATTATCCACTTTTTATTGAAATATGGGTCGTTATATTTTATAATTTAACTATTTCTCTCTCTTAATTTTTAAATATCTACCATTCTAGTGTTAAAATTTTGTTCCCGACCCCTTAATCTTTTATTTTCTGCAAATTTATTCAATTTTAAAAAATCACTGTATTTAACATTGCAATAGTTGTGGTCTGACCTCCTATTAAAAAAAGAGTCAAAATATCATCTAGTTTTCGCAATTTCATTATATCATGTCCAAAATTATAGATAGTTAAAATGAATATTAAACAAAGTTATATGTAATTAAAAATCAACAGATCAAATTTGCGTGAAAACAATTTGAGGCTAAAAAGATATATATATATATATATATATATATATATAAATTAAAAAACTAAAACTACAGGAAAATAATTATGGCCTGGAATTACCATTAAGCTTTATTTTTTTTATAAAACAATCCTCGGTCAAAGGAAGATGAGAGTGTTTTCAATTTTTTTTATAAGTATGTTTTTATTTTTAAAATTTTGATATAAAATTAAAATTTATCCATATTTTAAATTTTGATATAATTGTTTCTAAACTTTGAAAAGAGAGTAATGGTTTTAAATTTTATTAACTTATCAAAAACCTTTTTAAATACCGTTTGAATTATTTATTTCGATTTGACAAGTTTTAACTTAAATATCTAAAACATCATTTAATAAACTCAAAAATATTAAATTTAAAAATTTATATTTATTAATTTTTAAAATTTTAGTATCAAAATATATTAAAAGACATTAACAAATTTCAATTTACAAGTTTAAAAAATAAAAGTATATTTAATGAATTTCTTTTCTCCTAAGAAACTAGAGTTTTGGTAGTGTTTAGAAAGAGAGGAAAAAAGAAGCAGCAGAATTTGAATAGTGAAGTTGGTATATTTCAAACGGACTAATAATAAATTAGTATGATTTGTTTTATTGATATGTATATTTACAAATTACTAAGATTGTAAAAAAAAATTGTTAAAACAATATTTTTCTATTGAAAATGAGGTGTGAAAGGATGAGAGGTTTAGGCAGCAGTTAGGTTAATAGGGCCGTACTAGGTTGTAGTGTGTAGGGATGTGTGTGTAACAAACAATGTATGCAATGATCGTACAGTGCTTTTAATGGACCCCTCTGTTGTCTATATACAAAAGAAAAAAGAAGTTTGCTTATGCTATGCTGCCATAGCCTTCCATCCATTCCTCTTCTTCAAACTTCTTTTGCAATTTGTTCTAAGGGCATTACACCATGTGTATCTGTCAGTCACCCAGACAATTTAATGTTACAGTAAATAAAAGGTTATGATAGTATCAATTTAATAATGAAAACTAATCTAATAGTAAAAGCAAAGCACAATATTAGTTGAGTCCCTTCAAAGTGGGAAATATTTTTTATTCCAGCTTGCTACAAAAACTTTGCAAAACGGATGGAAATAATGTTTTCGTACAAATATCAGCCTATTCAAATGACAATGAGACATGAAGAAAGTTGATATAAATAGTTTTGCAAATCAAACAAGCATTTCATTTTTCACAATGTATATGAAAGTGAGATTGGTTAAGTGAAATTTATATGTTACTATTGGTAGTGTGAGTTTGATTTTTTAATTAATATATCTTTTTTTAGTTATGAGGTGGTTTTATAGTGTTTAAAGCAATTTAATTCATTGTAGTTATGAGGTGGTTTCTAATTTTATTTATGTCTAAAGAAACTTATTTTATAAAAAAAATTGGAATTAACTATTAAATGGACTAATATGTTTCATAAAAATAA